ATGGAAATGTTATGGGTCCAAGTCAACCAATGATGTCAAATGCTATTCCAGCAAATGCTGGTCCTATAAGACAGTAAAGAAATAAAAAAAAAAAAACATATTTGATGTTATCTTTTTTATTTGCATTATTATTTAAATATTTCTTATAGAAAAAAACGTAAACGTTTAACAGAAAAAGTTATTCATAAACAAATACGTTCACTGGTACCTGAATCTCAAGCTTACATTGAATTATTACGTCTTGAACAAAAATTAGATTCTGTTTTAATGAGAAAACGACTTGATATACAAGAAACACTTAAACGACCTCAAAAAGTATAAATATACGGTTTCTTTTTTTTTTTCTAATAGAATATTCTTATTTTTCTATATTTAAAATTTAGATAAAAAAGAAATTACGTATATTTATTAGTCATCAATATCCAGTTCGTTTTGATTCAGATACAACTGGTATTGATGATGAACAAGTGCAATATTGGGAAATGCGTGTTGAAGGTCGTCTTCTTGATGATGTATGTTAAATATATTAATAATAATAAATTCAAAAAGAGAGAAAAAAATCTTTTTTTTTAGCCAAATACAAATAAATATGATCAAGGAAAAACAAAACGTAAATTTTCATCTTTTTTTCGAAGTCTTGTTATTGAACTAGATAAAGATTTATATGGACCAGATAATCATCTTGTTGAAGTATATGTTTAAACTACAAAATAAAAATAAAAATAAAAACTATGAATATTTAGTGGCATCGTACAAATGCAACAGCAGAAACTGATGGATTTCAAGTTCGTCGTCCAGGTGATCAAAATGTTAAATGTACTATTTTAATGGTTCTTGATCATTCAGTAAGATGAATAAAAAAAAAAGAAAAGAAATAAACAATAAATTTATTTTAGCCACCACAATTTCGACTTGATTCACGTCTTGCTCGTTTACTTTCATTAACTAATGGTACACGACAAACAATTATACATGCTATGTGGCAATATATTAAAACAAATAAATTACAAGATTCAGAAGAACGAGAATTTATTAATTGTGATTCACATTTACAAGCGGTTAGTTTTTTATTTTCGTTATAATTTAATAAAATATTTGTTTATATTTAATTCATTGACTTATAATTATCGATCAGATAAAAATATATTATTTGTAGTCATCGGACATTTTTTTTGTCTTCTCTATAGGGTCATTTATACAGGACGTCTAAGTAAAAATCGTATTTTTTTGACGAGAGAATCTATTGTGTTATATATCATTCGATGTAGTTTAGCGGAATATACTATTGATTTTTAAACGCGTCATTTATTTGTAGATGATGATAAAAATATCGTATTTAGTATTCAGAAACATCCGTTTTATTTTCTGATACCTTTTCTTGAATATCTTGTACGGATGGTTTCTATATGAACCAGAGATGGACAAAATCGCACCGCGCCACTGCTCGCGCCTAGGCGCTACGCATATCTCTCTTTCTCTTTGCTCTTCCAATCAGTTTCTCAAACTCCACAGAATACCGGGATGCTCTAAGCATGCGCTCATCGAAGCTCAGACTAGTGTAGCGTAGGCGTGAGCAACGGCGCGGGGAGGCGCGGTGCGACTTTGTCCATCTCTGATATGAACATAGCATAAAATGATTTATATTTGATTTCTTTATTTTTTTCTTACTAACATCCTACAATCCAAAATAGATAATGAGAACCAACTCGATAGACATAGTTCTCATTCTAAAACCATGTTCTTTATTTAGATATTCGATTGTACACGTATACGTTTTTCTGATCTACCAGCTAAACTTAATAAACTAATTCTTCCATCAGAACCTATTATCATCAATCATACACTGTGGTAAAATAATTTTTTTTTTAAAAAGAAAAACAAAGATTTTATAATGCTTTGTTTTTTTTTTGTAGTCTTGGTACTGATCCAAAAAAACATGCTTGTTATGATATCGATGTTGAAGTTGATGATCCTGTTCGAGATTCAATGCGTTCATTTTTATCACCACAAAATACACATGAATTAGAAGAATTAGATGGAAAAGTAAAGAATATGTTAATTAGAAATTTTTAAAATTCATATTTCTTTTTTTTTTTAAAGATTTTACAATATATTGATAGTATAAATCAATTAAAACAAAGTCGTGAATTTTATCTTTCATTTGCTGATGATCCTCAAGGTTTTATATGTAAATGGTTAGCATCACAATCACGTGATCTTAAAATGATAACTGATTCAACAACAGGAAATGCTGAAGAAGAACGACGTGCTGAATATTATACGGAACAATGGTCATATGAAGCAGTTAGTCGATATTTTTATAATAAAGTACAACAAAAACGAGCAGAATTAGAACAAGCACTTGGTATTCGTAATCCTTGACATGAAATAAAATAAACAATTTATTTCTTTTTTTCTTTTTCATGTTTAAATGTATCAGTGTGTGTGTGTGTGTGTAGTCAAACTAAATGTATCAAGAGTAAAAAAGAAAAACTCTTAAACTTTGATATTGTTTCTCTTTATTACAGATGAATGATTCATTGTAAAAAACAAACAAACAAAAAATTTTAGTTGATAGTATTCATAAATAAGTTTATTGATGAAAAATCGATTCTCAAGTATAATTATAGATTGTCAATTTCAATGAATTGTTCATATTAATAATATATTCAATTTGTAAATAAAGAGTTCGAATCATATTTGAGAATTTTTAATCTGTTGATTAACATAAAATTTTAACATCAAATAACATTATTAGAAATAAACGATATATACAAAATTACAAATGTGTTTTATATTGACTTATTCACTATGTTGATATTATATGTTAAACCATAATATGGAATAAATTGTTGATGAAAAAAAAAATCCTTGAGTCAATGCCAATATGTTTTGATGTCATTGAAGATAACTTTTCGATAGTTTTTAAACAATAAATTAACTAATAGGAAAATTTTTAATTTAATTCTAGATGATTCTCTATATCGAACAAGAAATTCTATTAGATACAAAATGTCAAGATCTATATTTATGTACTAATGGATTGTATAATGAATATTTATTAATTTCATCTTCTAATCAATGTTCATGTCAAAAACAACAAGCAATTTTATGTAAATATAATCATGATTTATGTCAAAATCGTTGTTTATCCGAACATATTTTATTAATCAAACAAAAAAATCAAACAAATAATATTTTTATTAATGATAAACCAACAAATGTTGTTTTATTAAATAAAAATGAATTAGCAAATAATTCTGAAATTGTTTATATATGTCATGAAAATAATCTACCAAAACCAATTCTTGAACATTTAAAAAATCAATTAACTTATACAAATAATTTACCTACGAATTCATCAATAAATCAAGTATGAATATAGTGGATTAAAAATAATTTTTTTTTTTATTAATTTTTTTTCTGATTATTATTCTAGACATTTATTGTTGATTTTCTATTGAAATATAGTGTCTTAGCTCAAAGTATCTATGGAATGTATTTAACATTACAACAAGCAAGATATAATCGTTTTCAATTGAGGTAAAAAAAGCTCCTATCTTCTTACAATGAGTAAGATTTCATTTTCTTTTTTCATCGTGATTGAATAAAACTCATTGAGTTACAGAAGAAATATAGATTCGAAATTTTGTTAACACATTAAACATCTCATAGTTTAAATGACTTTTATTGATTTACATTTAGACGTCATGCTAATGTTGGATATCTATTAGCAAATATTTTCATTGGAATTCTATGTTCATTTATTCTATTTCGAAATTTTGATTTATATCGATTAATTTCAAATGAAATATTAATACAAACGGAGGTTAATTTCTAGTAGATTTTTTTTTTTTCTTTCTATAAATTTTTAAATTTGTTTTTGTCTTTAAATATAGAATTTAACAACATGGATTAAATCAATCATTGAATGGCTTATGCATGCACCTGCTGGTTTAAAATTAAATCAACCATTAGTTGATTTTCTAGCAAGATTTTATTTTTATCATATTTATCTTTGGTCAGGTTATCTTGAAGCATTAGTTATAACTGTAGTACCATATTTATATCAAGTATTATTTATTCTCTGTTTTTTTGGTATATCATTAGCTATTGGAGCAATCTGTGATTTTATTCGTTTGTTAACAATACATCTTTATTGTTTTTATATATATGCTGCAAGGTTAAATTTAATCTTTTTTTTGTTTTTGAGTTAAATAAAATCTTTTTGTTATTTTTCTTGTTGAATATATTTAGATTATTTAATTGGCAAATTCGTTTATTAATTATTCTTTTTCGTTTGTTTTGTGGAAAAAAACAAAATCCATTAAGAAATAATCGACTTGATTCACATCTTTGTGATATTGATCAATTATTTATTGTTACATTATCATTTACAATTCTTCTCTTTTTATTACCATCAATATTTATGTATTATGCAGTTTTTACTTCAGTAAGGAAACAAAACAAAGATAATTTCTTAATTAAAACTAGAAAACGACTTTATTTTTTTTGTTAAATTTAGATTTGGATAATTACAATATTAACTGTAAAATTAATACAATATATTAATCAATTTTTTTTACAGATACCTATTTATGAATTTTATTTATGGTTTACTGGATCTCGAATTATAAGAGGTAATTAAAATATTGATAGTATTTCGCCTAAAGATTATAAATCGATACATGTTTTTTTTTAATCGTATAATCTTAACATATATAATATTTTCAAAAGCAATGTTTTTTCGAATAGATTACTGAAACTATATATTTTAATTTATATTTTAGGTACACCAAGATTAGAAATAAATTATGCTGATTCAACTGAAGATACTGTATGTTTTAATTTTCATTTTGATTCAGTATCATTTATGACATTGTATCGTGTTTGTAATATTCGTTTATCATTATCATCTTTATCGTTTAGTAAAACTTTTCTTGCTATTTTAAAAGGAAAACCAATCGTTTAAATAAAAAAACAACATTTATTTTCAGATCATGATGAATAATGGTACATTGACATTATTTGATCGATATGATGTTGGTTGTGAATTAGGTAAAGGAACATATGGTATTGTTCGTAAAGCATTTGATACTCGACAACAACATCATGTTGCTATAAAATGTGTTTGTCTTGGTGAAGAAGGTATTCCAAGTACAGCTTTACGTGAAATAAGTTTACTTCGTTCATTAAAACATATAAATATAATTCGTTTATATGATATTAAAGTTCATCAACCTACTGGTGAATTATTTCTTTTTTATGAATGTATGGAAATGGATTTATATGAATATATGAAATTATATGGAAAATCATTACCAGATGATTTATCAAAAAGTTATCTTAAACAAATGTTATTAGGTATTGATTATATACATTCAAATTCTATGTTACATCGTGATTTAAAACCTCAAAATAGTAAGTAAACAAAAAAAATCCAAAAGAAAATATTTAAATATATATATATGAAGTTTTTTTTGTTGGATAATTAAGTTCTTATCGATTGGATTGGTTCATTAAAATTAGCTGACTTTGGACTTGGTAGACATTTTCAAATGCCCATGAGAATGTATACACATGAAGTATATTTATTTTTTTACATAGTAGTTTATTTTTTTATTAACATATAAAATAATTTAAAGGTTATTACACTTTGGTATCGTTCACCAGAAATTTTACTTGGTGCAAAAACTTATACAACAAGTGTTGATCTATGGAGTATTGGTACGATATTTGCTGAAATAACACATAATCGAGCATTATTTGCTGGTGAATGTGAAATTGATCAACTTTTTCGAATATTTCGAACTCTTGGCAAGTGCTTTTTTTTTTTGTTTTTTGCTGTAAATATAGAACATTTCAAAGTCTTTCTCGATTAGTCTGAAAGCAGAGCAACTGATTAGAAAGGGAATGGTGTAGCATTATCTTCTCTTCAAAATGTTAAACTTTCTATGAAATTTTTTATAATCTCATCTGTTTATGATAGATATTCATACGAAGATACTTTATTTATATTTAGGTACACCAGATGATATAACATGGCCAGGTTTTTCAACAATGCCTGATCATAAAAAAACTTTTCCACAATGGAAAGCTCAAAATATGGCTCAATTATTATGTAATCTATCACCTGATGCTCTTCAACTTACACTTCAAATGCTTATTTATGATCCAGATCGACGTATAACAGCTAAATCAGCACTTGAAAGTACCTATTTTCAATCAATGTCAAATCATCCTATTATTCCACCACAAATAAATCAAATAAAAAATGTTGTAGTAACTGAAAATACAACATTATCAAATAATTAGTCAGATATTCAATGATATTTGTTGTTGTTGTTTTTTTTTGCTTATGTCAGATGATATTTTTCTTTTTTTTTTCTATTACCTTAAATACATTACTTTGTTGATAGTCTGTATCCATGCAATAGTAATTTTGTTGTCTTATGGGTTAAAAGTTTTCACATCGACGACATAAAAAAAAGTGATGCTTACCATCCATAGTTGTAACTATTCGACTTTTGGACATTAAAAATCGACGTATTATTTTTCTTAACTGCCACCGAATGAGTAAATAAATCTAGTTCGTTAATTTAATATATATGATCAAACGAAACTAGATATATACCACATTGGTGGCAATCAGACATTGTCATACCAAACTCAGAGTGCACTCTTATGGTGGAGAGTGATAGCAGAGCTGCTTTAACAGTATGACACGTCCAAAAGCCGGATAGTCTCAGATTAAAAAATCTGAGAAACTACGAAGGAAGCATTATTTTGATCTACGTCGTCGAGGTAAAAACCAAACTGCACCCAGTAACATATAACTGTTGCGTGGATACAATTGAAGACTTGGTTGTTACCACTGAAGATAATATGAAGATCAACTTGTCTTTATATACAACATCAAACGATTCAATTACATTGTTGTTGTGCAATAACATATGCATACAAACACCTACACAAAACGTTCGTTGTCATCACGTCTCGAAATCATGTGTCACTAAATATATTTGCATAAGGATTGCATATCATCATAGAAAAAACAACAACAAAAATAATAATGCATCGAAATAAGAAAAAACAAAACTGCATTGTCATATTTACTTTAAGAATTTTTATTATTCAAGGACAATATCACAAACAATAGAAACTTTGATTTTTTTGCGTCGTAACTATTCACATGATGAGAAACAAAAAAAGAAACTCCTAGTGACAAAATCACACATGTTTTATTTGTTCAACATGGCATTTGACGAGCATTTTTCTCTTATTGTTTATTTATTTAGTTATTGAAATTAACGTTGCTATGTGAATAAACTCAATTAAATATCATATCAAGTATTCTAAATTATAAAAGAACTGATCTTCAAATATTGATCGATTTTGATCCATAAGAATAAACTCATTAGAACAATGTGATTATATCTCTATTTATCTAATAAACTTTATGATGAACTATATATTAATTCATTCTGAAAAAAAAGAATAAGTTTGTCGACTTATTGATTTTATTGTCTTCATATCGAATATTTAGACAACAAAAACTACAGTTCACAAGAGACAAAACGAAATAACAGCTATCGCATTATACATTATATATGATCGAACGAATATCTGACCTTTTTGAAAATTTTTGAGACACAAGACAAGATCATTTGATAACAGAAGTGACACTTATCAATTTACATTGAAAATAGAATATATTGTGTTAAATGTTACTGTTATAAAGAGAGAAAAAAAAATCAGTGTCTAATGTCAATTGAAGAGGTCAACATTCTTTTGTATCTTTTACTATGTTCATTTAACAAGAGAGCCCATCTCTCCGTAAGCTTGCATATTTGTTCGTCGATTTGGATTACATAATTCTTGTTCAAAAAGAAAAAGAAAAAGAAAGAAAACGAGATGATAGAAATTCTTCTTTATTTTTCTCTCTTTTACATGCATTAAATAGTTATTGACTGACTGTTCAATCGAGTAGTGCTATGGTTCGACTACTCGGTCGATGTATACCAATAATTTGTATGCCAAGAAAAAAACGTCAATCATTACCAATATGTGAACAAGAATTAGCAGGAACAAAACATCATCAAGAAGAAATAAATAAATTATTTGTAAGACGTGTTGAAAGTATCCGTGTCACACAAAAAGGAGCAATTTTTAAACGTTTTCCATTACAAACAATCAATGAACGTCATCAACAACAGAAAAAAACGTAAGAAAGAAATATTTTTTTTTTTGTTTTTTTTTGTATTATTTATTTAATTTCAATTTTTATTTTTATGTGTTTATATTTAGAAAATCAAAAACAGCACTTAATAATAGTGGAAAAATTATTAAACCTGATGATACAGAATTTGATTGTGAAACACATATATCTGATCGACAATCAAATGAAAAAAATCGTATGAAATCAAAGAAAAAACAAACATCATCATCAATTAAACAAAAATCAAAAGAAAATTTTTCACCTAATTCACGTACACATTTAGAAAGATTATTTAATAAAAGAAAAAAAATTAAAGAACCATCACCAGCACCATCAAGTAATATTAATATAACTGAAGAAAATCATGATGATACAATAAGTAGTATATCATCATCAATATCATCCGAATGGTCAACATCAACATATCCAGATTCACATAGTAGTAGAAAGAGTAAAGATTTAATTAATTCAAATCAACGTCGACAATCAATGCCTGCATCAAATTTAATAAATCAAAAACATGAAATCAAACATCAATCATGTTTAGAAAGTTTTTCTTTGAATAAACAACGTGCACAACAAACATCAACATCATTACGAACAAATACATCTTTACTAAAAATTAAAGATAACAAAACTAATAATAGTTCACCATCACAACAAAATAGACGAAGTGAAATAAAACCATCAGCGAAAAGTAAACAAGTTTTACAAAATGTACGAAAAATGATTAATGATCAAAGTATACAAGAACAACATTTTAATGATACACGACAAAGAGAATCTGTTCGATTATAATCAAAAACAAAAAAAATATATATATATACATACATACATCATTATCATTATTTAATAAGACATTAGAAATTTATTTCTTTTTGTTCTTAATTGTTAATTAATGATTTAATATTAAACAGTTATCAAAAAGAAACACTATAATTTTCTTATTTCTTTTTTTTTTTTTTTTTGAATAAGTGTTAATCGAAAAAAACGAAACAATGTCAAATGATGATATTTACATAAAATTACAGATGAAGGAATTAAGAATTGAATGAACGTGCTACACTTATCACATGTTAATCTTGTTGCTTTTTGCTAAAAGTAAAGCTTCATAATTGAGATTACTCATACTTATCACTATGCATGATCATGTTTCGATGATTAAGCATGTACTATTAACTACGATATATTACTATCACTCTTTCTAATTCTACACATACAATGAAATCTTCTTTAAGTATACACTATTGAAATTTTTGAAAACTGTTTATTTATGAGAAACATGATTTATTTTACTTTGAAATGAAGAAAACTTTTAAAATATAGATCTCTTTATTAAGTCTGAAGTAATTCAACACTATTCTCTGTGCTTTTCTAATTTTATTTTTCTTTAAATTTATATAAATCGTAAAAGTTTTCAACAAATATATTGTTTTACAAACTCTTCTATTGCTTATTTGGTTTCGATATCCATAGATTTCTTGAATGTTTCTTGCTAATAAAAATAGTTTAAAAAGAAATCAATAAGAAGATTCGCTACAGTTGTCGAGTTATTGAATAAATATTCATAAGAGCAGCATTGATTTGCCTTTTTTTTTCTTCATTGAATAAAGTACGTAAGAACTTAAAATGTTCAATATTCTATACGAATGAAATCTATTTATTGAAGTTTTAAGATATAGAAATATTTTCAATTAGAAAAAATATTTCTTTCTAATTCACAAGGCCTGATAAATCAATAGATAATGATCAAGAATGCTAATCATAATCATTATATACTTCTTATTTCAATTCGGGTTACTATCATCGTTTTTTAAATTTGACAACTAGTATTGTGAACTTTGAGATCATAGGGTGTGGGTGTGTTGGTGTCTGCGTGTTATGTCATTAAGATTTCCTCTGCATCCACACCAACACCTTCATGAATCGATGTGACAGAAATATTGCAAAAGGATATCAGCAGCCTGCATTAAAAATATTGGCGAGAAACTAAGTGGCGCATCTTGTAGAGCTGGCCGAGGTGGATGTAGTTCATGTTTTATAAACAGAGGTCAAGTTCGGTGAAAACGAATATGGTAGAGAAAGTACTAAAAATGTCATCTTTTGCAATATAACATCAGCGGTACATGAACTCTTGAGACCTAAAGAGTGCCTCTGTACAGTCGATACTATAAAGAACTTTTTTTGACACTATTTTAAACACAAATATCCGAAATAAGTGCCATAATGTGTCATTTTTCTACAGATCTCATATTGATGTAGATGAATGAACTTCGTAAATTATTCACTATTCAGAATACCTTGAAAAAGGGAGGTTATGTGGCACCAACAAGAATTTATTTTACAGGTTGTTGTCGATGTTTTAAGAGAACAGTTTCAACAAATTTGTAACTTTTCATACACTTGAATCGTTTGCGAACTAGGTTTTCTCATATAGATGCAATATCAGAGGAGATTTATGAAAAAAATACTTTTAAAATGTTCTCAACTTCGAGTCTCTCGTATACTTCCTTGGCTCGCTATCTTTTTGAGCTAGAAGACAATTCTCAGTGTATTTTTACACTTTTATTTAGAATCTCATTTCATTTTTTTTTCACAATAAAGAAAATATTCTGATCAGCAAAACAGATCGCCGCCTTCGAAAAAAAACTTTTGGACACGGTAATTTCTAACATCAGTAACATATAAATTGTACTGGGAATCAAAAGCTAAACTCATTGGAGAATTCAAGCGTTCACTGTCACCTCCGAATGCGCCGGATTTATTAATTATTGGTTTCATTGTACCGTCACGTATACTCATTCGTTGAACACGATTGCTGTGATATTCAACTACATATAAATTGCCATAATTATCAAGTTGAACATCCCAAGGATCTGCTAAACCAGTTGCTACAGCAACACCCTTTGAATTGCCCTTTGAAATCTTTTGAACTGTTCCAGAGCTTGCATCAGCTATGTAGACTGTTCCACATTGATCAACGAATATTCCATTTGTATTATTCACTTCATGTTTAAGAAAAGTTTTGTCTGTTGGTGGATATTTTGTTAGCTGACTAAAATTTGAAAAACTAGATAATGATAAATACGAGAAATAAATGTCTCCTTGTTTATCAACATATAATGATCGTGGTACAGAGCCATTCAAGGTAACAATGGTTACACCTTGATCACTGTTAGGAGACCATTTCTGTCTTCGATAATTATAATAATCCGTAATAAACAGATTACCATCGGTATCTACGAAAACATCTTCTGGATAGAACAATTGATTGGAAGAGCGTTTCCTCGTTTATTTCCACCTGCTACTGTTCCTCCATTGTTTGAACTGAATTTGAGAACACTATCTTCACTCATTTGTACCACATGAAGATCATCGTTGTGATCAATAAATATTCCCCGTATGTTTAAAAGATCATGAGCAACCGTTATTCCCTGTTGATTCCATTTGGACTTTGTATAATTGGCACGTTGTGGTGGCACCTGGAAAGGCACATATTGAGCTGGTGCTGCAATGGCTATAGAAGATGATCAAATGAAGGGTAAAGAAAAAAAATAGGGACATAACTCAATAAGTTTCGATATATAACTAAATTACATACATAGCACTATTATAGCATTCTTTTTGAGAACTCTTTAAAAAGTCGAAATTTCATCAGATTGGTGTGTGGCTATTGCTCATTCTCTTTTTTTTCTCAATAATACTCACTATAAGGATTGTGGTATAGATTTTTTTATGTATTGTAAGGTTAACTACATGCATAAACTCTGAAACTCACCTTGACATTGTCCTATTATTAAATTTTGCATCTGCTGTCCTTGGAAGGTATGCACAAATTTCTTCAAGCATTCAGCCATTTGTTTATCACATTGACAGACTGAATGTTTACATGTGCCTTCTTGATCAATACATTTGACATTGCCTTTCCATAAACTTGCCTCGTATTCAGATGTCTCTGGATCACATTCAAATGAAACAGCACAACAATCATGATAAAGACGGCAGCAACGATCAGTTTGATCCATAGCCGGAGTGTATTTACCATCGCCAATATTGACTGAGTTGCATCTTAAAGAAAAGAAGATCTTCAAAAGCACTGTTCAAAGTTAGCCTCAGTTAAACTATTTTCACTCACTAACATCCGTAAGTTTCATAGTCAATAGTCGGCTTCTTTGTTAAATAAGTCACCATTTCACTTAGTTGAGATGTGAACGTTGCTGTAATTGATGGTGCAATCAAAAGAAGGAGTGCGAAAGAGTAGAGTGAAGCAGCCATTTTTTAATTGTACTCTTTATGATTGAAAAAAAGAAAAGAGTGGAAGTATCAAGAAAGAATCAAGTCAATTATATACAGCTCTTTGATGCATGAAGAAGAAAACTAATTAAAAAAAAGAACAACAAATATCGAATCATTCGTGCGTTCTTGAAGTGAGATTTAAAAATTTAATCGAAGAGAAATATCATGCACTGAGTGACTTTATCATTCGCTATGTGAATGATTAAGTGAAGAATTTATTTAACGAGAAATTCTTCTTTTATCACGCAATTCATGAAGTTCTAGCTGTGGATGCAAGTTCTGACCAAAATGGATCATTAACGAAGACAGCTGTTTATGACTTTTAAGTTTCTTTTAGTGGTTCTAAAAAGAACCAGTTGAATGTGTGAGTGTGCGTGTGCTATCCTTTCGTCCAAAGAGATCCAGACCCATTGATTAAAAATAGTTTCATTGATGGAATTACAATCTTCATATTGTTTACACATTGTTCAAATCAAATGTGTGACTTCATATAGAGAAGCTTTGTAAGATTCATCATGTATGACACTAGTTTTTATCCTAGCTGATAGTCATGGACTTATGTTTTCAAGATTGTTTTTTTATTCATGAGTACAAATCAAGGTCCTTTTCTTGAAATAAAAACAGGTTTTCAGTTCTTTGAAAGGTCCACTCACATGAAACTTTCATTGGCTAGACAAGAGATATGTCAGTAATAAGTTTCTTGAAATGTTTGATTATTTCCTACTTATCAGTAATTGGAATATAGGAGAAAAAGAGGAACACATTTACGGTTACAAAAGAAAGAATGTTTCTGATGCAGTCGAACAAGCATATTCATCAACCGAATAGAAACAAGAAACAAAATATAGAATTTTAAAAGTTATACTGGGGTGTGAGTGCAAATTTTCTCTATTCAGGTACCCACAAGCATGGCTACACTTACACTCATGATAGATCAATAAGTCTATTCATTATAAAAAAAAATTCAATAATTCAATAAAAGCTATGACTTAAATTAAACGTTCCATGAGAGAACTTATATTTTCAGTGACTAAACTACGATATTGATTAATTCTTAAGAAAATACGACAGTCAAATGGAAGCTAGTGATTAAACAGAATATTATGACAGATCACTTAGTTCCAAAAACATACCAGTAGCCTAATTCATACTATTTCAATACTTATTTTAGAGTCATTCTTGAACTCGACGAGTCAAAGGTTATTCATAGATTCATTTCATGTAATTATATTTCTTCGAAAAATTTAAATAGAAATTATTTAGTATTTATGTAGTTAAGCATATTGAGAAATAGTGAAATAATAGAGGATTTTATGTTTCGCTTACTGATCATGAAAAACGCTTCGGTCTTCTTTGGCGTAGAGTTTTTCGTTTTCTGTCTTTGATATATCATATCCCAATTTCATCCATCGATAATTTCTCTCTCTCTATATGAGCAGTATGAAACAAGTTTCAAAGATATATTAGGTGGCAGGAATAAAGAATGAACTGAGTGTTAATAGCAGACAGAATTTTTCATGAATTTTTTTATCTCCAAAAAGAAATGAGATCTAAAAGAAACTTTGAGTAACTTATAGATTTCTTGGGATAATTCACTTATGTGTTCGATTCTTTTCATCGTTTGACCTATAAAAATGCATTGAAATATTTGTCATAATCGACTGAATTAACTATTATTTAACAATCAAAACACTGACTAATTTTCAATCGCGTTTACTTATTGTTACATAGATGTATCAATTGATAGAAAGAAGTCAATGCTATGTAAACATCTCGACTATTACAGATACTTTTTTTTTCTTTAACTAGCTGACAGACTCGTCTTTTCGTATAAAAAATCAGTGTATTATTTTTATATTGCGTTTTTGTTTTATTCCTCTAAACATTACTATGTGATAGCATGCACAAAGTGTTCATTCTGTTAGATCAAACTACACTCAAAACTGGATCATTCGTCAAATTAAAAAAGAATCTAATGCCATTAGGCTAATTTAATTGTTAACAAAATGAAATGATTCTCAGTCTCTTTTTTGTCGAAGTAATCTCTAAATTTGATTATGACGAGAAAAGAAAATAACGATGTCATCGAATTAATATATTATATCAACGGTTCCTCAATGATATTTTTATCAGTTGTTTTTGAATTACTACATCACTAAGTTCGATACAGTAGTTGATTGCAAGCTTTCAGATGAAGGCGTCATATTAATTATTTTGAGAAGTATTTTAAGATCACTCATGATGAAAATTGACAGTCCTAAAATGAGTATATGAATCGTCTCTAGATCAGAAATCCAATTCAGAAGGTATTCATAGTCAACACATCTTCTGTTGATGAGTATCTTGTTTAGTACCAAAGTTCTATTCATTGACGATTGTTTGTTCTATAGTCTTACTACTGTGTATGTGATAATCATATTGCACAAATATTAGTATCGAAGTAGCTAACTTGAAAAGATATGATATTCGCTTCTTTGATAGTGGATGTTGACAGTATGAGTCAATAATGTAAATACTGAAAGAAGAATGATGGGCATTATATAAAGAATTTAGTTTGAAAAATGTGCTTTCTGCATGTGACAATGACGACAATTGCAGATAAAAAGTAGTGACAAAGAAACTACATAACTAATGATTCATGTTGATAAGACAAGACTATAAAAGTGCCAAAGATGACATCAATATATATATGTATTTAGTTCGGTTCAGCTGATCATTCTATTGTCAGTATTATTCCTTTCATAAAACTACAAGTCTAGTTATGCCATTAAAGTTAATTGTTAAATTTCTCACATATACTATCATCAATATTGCCATAGTACAAGGACAAGGAGGTGGTGGCAGTGGAGGTGGCGGTGGAGGGGGTGGTGGAGGCGGATGGATACCAGGTAACAAAAAATAAAAGATACCAATAGTTGAAAAGTGAAAAACTATGTGCTGATTCTGAGATATTTTTGAGAATAAAACTTAAAAACTGGTTACTTAATATAAATGTATGTTTTTTTCATATTAGGTGGAGGTGGTAGCGGTGGAGGTTGCTTAACTCATCAGTGCAAGTATGATGGTCTCGTTATTGGCCTTGTGTTTGGTGTCATCGCTGGAGTGTGCTTGCTTGGTTTTGCTGGTTTTTTTCTTTTACGGTGCTTATTAGGTAGACCATTTCGAACGAATCCAAATTTTATCAAAACGGCTGCCTACGATAAAATGCTTGAAACCGATAGCAACATAATCTTTCAATCAGGTATATGGTCTAGTCGATATTATCAATACAAACGATGGCACGGTCCTCATCAACTATCACTTAAATTTGATGCTCTTGAGATGACAGTTAATGGAACAGGACGTGATGATGTCGGTCAATATCAAATCACGGGAATTTATTCAACAAAGACACAACGTCTAGGTCTCACAAAGAAGTATCAATCTGGCACCGGTAATTCAGCACAAAATTTGGGACACAATGTAACAATTCAATTGTACTGGAATCCGAATAGTAAACAGTTCGAAGGTAAATGGTACGTACAAACTGCAAAATATCATGGAGAAGATAAATTTGAACTTAAACTTTCCAAACAACAACTGACAAATATTTATTTGAAAGTGTAATAATATGATACTATGGATTGTTACATATTTGAATTATTTTTAGTTATCTTAAAAGATAAAACTTCTGTACTAATAAAATTGGACTATAGTTTGACTTTTACACAAATTACCAATCAAACATTTCAATTCCTGCGGTGATTTTCGTATGAAAAAGTTTTGACAAATCATTCATAATTCTATTTAAGTTCTTCTCCTACGGGAGAAATCCAATCATGGTAGATCTAGTGAATAATTATTGATCTTTCTGGTGTCTGCGATTTTCGAGATTCTATAGGATTCATCAAAATTGACGTCCCTCTTTCCATTTAAATATCTTGTAAACTTCCATATTCTCTACTGAATTCTAGCAAATTATTGTGTTTTTAATACCTCTAATGGAATCTAGTGAAATTAGATAGTCTGATGAAACTCATTTGCAACTTCATAAATCATCAGTTTCACTCTTTTATGTCTTTCATTAGTTTCATTACATTATGTAGATATGAACTTCACAAACCTAAGATAAACAACTCTATCTAGATTCTCTAGTAACAAAGCATTCATTTTTTTATACATACATATATAGAATAAATTTGATGTGGTGGCAATGCCAAGGGCAACATGGAGGAAAGCTAACCCACTCCAAAGCTTTTGAGAACATTCAGAAAAACTTACACGCTTTTGTTTAACGAAAGCTCAGATCCAGGGTTCAGTGATGCTGTCAATATAGAATATCTAGAATAAAAATTAGATGAAAAATTGGTTATAATCAATAATAAACGAAAAAATCAAAATTTCACTGAATAATTAGCTTAATTTTAACTAATAATCAATGAAAAGTTCATGAAAACGCTGTTTTATTCTCATCTGATTTTTATTCTATTTTCGACATGAACGAGCCCTTCTGACCAAAACTTAGAGAAGTGTCAAAGTGGGAAAGTGCAGCTACCTGACAAACTATCCTGACGCCTTTGTTAATTGGTTGCAGTCATTGATAGAAACAAAAAATATTCCATAATTTTGGTTTACTTTTATATGACACTCATCATTAGCTCTATTTTCTCGACTTAATTCAAAAGTTAGTCCATTCACTTTGAGAATTTCTTTGAGAAACTATAACAAATGGCAAAACAATCTTCACGTCAATCTTAGCCCGATTATATGCTAAATAAACAATGAAGCAATGATAATTTTTCTCTATGTTATTATAACATGTGTCACCATATTTAGATTTTATTTTCATGATAAATGTGAATGTCAATCTTTTTGTCTCTCTAAATCTACTTGATAGATATGTTTTAAAAATGTGCTAATACTCGTGATCTGATAACTGTTAGTTTCAATACTTTTCCATAAGAAATACCATGTACTTGATCGAACAATGAAGACAATCATGATGATCAATCGATCCAAAGGCTTAAAAAAAATTTTTAATCCCAGAAAGAAGTAGAGACTACATAATCTTTAAATGAGTCTTCTGGTAGATATGTAATTTTTATTCATTAAATTTTCCAGAAGGTTTTAAATCATAATAAAAAAATGTAAGAATTGATGTATGTGTTGATTTTTGTATTTGTGTATAATGGACGTTGATGTCGATGATTCAGACCATACAGAATAAATCAAGCCAAAAATCTATTCGATAAATTTTTTATTAATGTTCCTAAATTATGGACTTTAAAATTTCATTCAATTAACTTAAGGTTCATAAAAAATCTTGTTTCATGATTTTTCTCATTTATGAACAAGTTCAATCGATCGATGATTTTTTTTATGTCTTTCAGAAAACATTCGATCAATGTGATTTTAAAAAGCCTTAATTCGATTCGAATCAATTTGACAATAAAAATAAACTATCCAAGTCAATTCGAAAATGATAATAAGCAATTCGACATTGATATAACTCGGCTCAGTTAAATCGAATCATACGCTGATTCGATTTACTTTCGAATTTAGTATCAGATGCAATACAAAATAACAGACACAGTTTCTATTGTAAAACAAAAAAAATGAACTTTTTCATTTATTCCATATTGAGATATCCTCAAAATAACTGTCTATTCGAATTCTAGTGCCTAAGAACCTCTAACTGAACTCTGAATTTAAAGTAGAACTATGATTTAGTGCAGTAGGATATTATTAGTCTGACAGAGACCTAGAAGATCAATGTAGATGTCAAAACCACCTTGAGTGATAAAACTAGTAAAAAGATTTCTTTGACAACTACAAGAACTAGTTCAGACTATCCTATAATAAATGATACTATCACAACAGTTCAGATTCTCTTATATCACCATTAGACGGATCTGTCGTTCGAACGACAGTAAACCGAAATGAAAATAAAATACGTTCAATAGTTATAAGATAATCAACCGATGACAAGTTTCTTGATAATAAGGAAAAAATCTTCATAAACGAAGGAAAAAAAGTAATTATTACTATCGAATATTGTCAGTAGATCAAATTAAATTTAAACTTCAAGGAAAATAATACTTAAAATAAGTCAAATCAATAGTTAATGGAAACTGGTATCATGTTCCATAAGTAAAAACAGTAGCCGCACGCTTCCAAAAATATCTTAGTTTTTATAAAGTGCTGGAAAATGATTTATTATTCTAATGAAAAAGAATATCAGAATGGTCTAGAAAATAAGAATTTTCATATCAGATTCATCCATATAAGTATAAATCATCAAACTACAAGCGCAGCATTTTGATCAATATCAAACAGCAAATTCGCTAGAACGAGTTGAGTGTGGGTGTGAATGTCGGTGTGTGTATGAATATACAGTAGGCCCACACTTCACTCCATACTCATATTCACATTTACACCCCACATCTGACACACAAGCCCTATATCAAATAGAAAAAATATCGAATGTACAAATTTAGAAAAGTAACCATGTCGAAAATAGAATATTTAAAGAAAAGAAACGTCTCTAATTTATTGCAGCTCTTTTAATTTTTTTTGTTGGTCAAAAGTGTCTTAAAAGAATCTCACCTTTTCCCACTCTGATATTTCTCGCATTTCGCTTTTTATTCATTTCGATCCCAAATTCTTTTCATTAAGTCTCTTTTAACATTCGTACGTTCCGTATTCTTGACATTTTCCTCTTTCGATATTTTTGCGTTGGATATTTTTATTATCGAATGAACTACAACCAACTCAATAATTTTATTTATAATATGCACATATTAAAAGATGTAACAAACATATAAGAAAAAGAATTTTAAAATAGATGTTAGAGCTTATGCTCATGAGCATCGAAATCGAACTGAGATGTTGATGAATAGTTTTATATGGAACCTTTGAGAATTAATTAATAGCTGAATTGAGTCAGGAATCAGTGGTGACTGAGAAAGTTTTCATTATATCGAGCAATGTTGACAATAGCAATTCTTAACGAAAGCGCAGGCCACTAAATTCGAATCACATAAAGACAGCTGACGGCTAGGTCAAATCAAACTAAACTGGCTGATCGTTGATATTATTCGATTTAATCAATCTAGAGTTTTGACACCATTGTAATTTTCCACAGTGGATATATTCATGCCTGTTTTAGAAATGAGAAATTGAAACCTTTGATTGAACTTAGTACAGAGATATGCAAGCATAATTATCAAAAGAAACGCTTTCAGTGAACTAGACGACAAGTAGGTCATTAGGTAAACTCATTGGAAATATAGTTTATGACCAATATATTTGGACATCTTCATGGAACAATATACGAAATGAACTATTAGAATTTGTTTCAAATAAGAAGAGAACATTTTCGTATAGGAGTAAAGTCAATTGAACTAACAATACCTCATAATGAGATTATAATTTAATTCATTGAACTTTGTTTTTGTATGATTGAGAATGTATTTTCAAAAATGATCCATTATTTATTTTTGTTAACGAGAATGACAAATAATAACACATTTTCTTTGTTCATGACTTTCAACAAATATATTTTAAACATTTTTCCATATAATCCATTACTTCATTGTTTCATATCAAAGTTTACTTTATAGTTAAATGCGACATTTTTTTCTTTGTGGATTGAATACAAGTATTATTCAATTGAATTAGATAGAAATATAGAAGTTAGTTGTTTTTTCGTTCTAAATTCTGTAAATAATCTTTGGAGGTTTCTGTGTTATTTTGCGGACAAACTAAATCAAGTGACTAGTAGATAGCTTATTGTTTTCATCTTTTTTCAACTATTTCCGATCGATCTCGATATACTTCCTTGTCAATTTTTAAAAAGCACCTGTTTGTGTTTCAGAGACAAAATGCCCATCACTTCATCCTACACAAAAGAATAAGGTCTGCATACGGTTGTTTATGATGCCGTATTACAGTGTAGAGGATTTCGAGAAAACATGGTTAGTTTACTACCATAAACGATATCTATTTTGATTGACATGAGATCACTTCTCATCTCGCTGCAATGGCAAATAGCAAAGATGATTCAATAAACAAATGAGATAAATTAGCTCACTGTTAGACTTAGGCTAAATTGTTTCTTATCTTATTTGCGTAGATTGTTCGATTGGTCATAGAAAAAGTGAGATATAAATAGCAACTTCAACTATTTCAATACGATCGATGTTGACTTAGTAATGATTAGAGATGTCGGATTAGCATTAGTATTAAAATAATGCTAATGCTTTTAAGCATTAACATTAGCATTAATTAATGCTACCACTAACACTAATGCGATATACTTAGCAGTGATATTGCTCAGACAACGTACAAGCTAGAACTGTCAATGGAAATAAAATGAATTAGATACCCTTGTTGCATATGTCAAGTGGCTATGTTTAAAATGAGATACACAAACTCTTTGTAAGGTTCTATTGACATTTAGTTGAAACTTCAATAGAAGAAAACAATACGTATTTATTGTAGTATTAATTTATAAGAAAAACAATCGAAAACATCTGACATATCTTCATGCTCATGTAACTGCTATGGAAATAATGGATGCAATTATATGATAATGCAATCTATTTCATTAATTTTAATGCATTATTTCTTCCATAATGCATTATTTGCAAACATAATGCATTAATATGCGTGAAATAGGTTGCATTATCATGTCATTACACCCATTATCGACTATATGAGATAGCCATGACTGTACCAACCGATATTATTTACAAGTTTTTTTTCCCTCTACAAACAAAGGAATCTTAAACAAAACAAAATGAGTCGTTGTACTTCTCATTGAAATTCATCAATCCTATTAGTGTGTAAACGTGTTAATTTAATCTTCTTCGGCATACAGATCAAGATTATTTCCTCGATTGAAAGAATAGGGTCTAGAAATGGAAATGTTTTCTGTCTCTGTCAGTAACATAGTTCCATATGATAACTATGATTCACAGGGATATTCGATAGCTATAGTATGAATAACTGCGTAGGACAACAATTGACACTTAACCATTAGCCTGAATATAAGACTTTTATTAGCTACAACCACGTAATTAGAATAATGTGATATTACTTTGTTTGGAAATAGATATAGCACATATACAATTTACTGTAAATTGTTGCATTAGTTCTTTTTATCTTTATATATCAATATATACAGTTCACATAAATTTCATGCCAAGCATATAACAGACATGGAAGATTTGGTATATGAAGTTTGTTTTTAACATGGCAGCTTCGAGCATAAAATCTCTAAAATTAGTATACTACTATTTTTGACCGCATATCATCGATAGAATTTCAGTAATTCCACATATATCAATATATTTACTGTGATAGAACAACAGAATATATAGTTTCGATAATGCAAGTATCGAACAAATTTGATAAAATTTCCGTAGAAAAAGCAGTAGCACTGCATATATAATATGTTGGCGTGGCCCTTTTCGTCATTTTCCCATCCCATCCGACAAGAATTATCACGGTGGACTTTTTGTTTTTATTGCGAATGAAAAATAAAATAAAATAAAATAAAACTTAATCTGTTATGATAAATTAGATCACATGATTAACATTATCATTGAGTGTCGCCCATATTTTACTACAAAGATATTTGGATATTAGAGAACATTGTTGACGATATCACAATAGTAAGAATCATTTCTCAGCAATATTTACTTTGAGGGATATTCTAACATGTATTTGGGTCAATAAAAGAAATGATAATCAACATAAGAAAAACTTTTTATCGTACTTCTTCTTTGAGTTTAGCTTTCAAATGAATGTTTGTTTGTCTACCTAAACTGTAAATTTTCGACCAGGAAAAGCGACATGAAGGTTTTCTTTCGTATTACAAGTTGCATGAGATATTCTATTATTAGAATAGATACTTTGTGTCAAAAATTTCTCTTATCCGTCTGTCACATATACACAAATTATAGATGGATTTTCTTGTGTACCAATTGTCATAGTTGAAACTAAAGACGTCTATGTCATTTTACCTATATACTCGGATTATGTTATAAACAGCTGTAATACATAGCTTATCGTAAACCTAACAACAGACAACAGATTGGATGTGTATCTCATCAAACAACGATGTAGTTAATGGAATTTAACAAAGAGAGTGAAAGGAAGTTTTTCTACAAATCCATGCTGTTGAAACAAATTTTTATATCCGCTTTTTAACCTGTGAATGAGATTATATAAGAAGTTCTCATACCACCTTTTTGTTGAAAATTTCTAATAGCGGTAGAAAAAAAATTCTTATAGTGAAACACAATCTAAAAGAAGTGTTGAAGTACACGATGACATATGACAAACACGTTAGAAACCATTGATCACGAATTCGATAGATAAAACGATAGACATGTCTGAGACCGTGGCAGATGTTGTTGATATTCCATCACAGATCGTATATCGGTAACTTCGTCTTATAGTATATGAACTAGTTCCTTATTGTATTTTTCGAATATTAGATCAGAGTATCGTGAAGAAACATGTGCCAAAATACAACGAATAAAACAATCTCACTGTGATTAGTTATAGCAGCTACATCGCTGTTCACATTCTAATTCAGCTGATCAAATTTTTGGAATATAGAAAAAACACAAGAAAATTATCTCATGGTTTGATAGTTTTGACAGTCACTGTGTACAAAGACTATGAATTTATTTCGCATGATTAATATCTAACATTAAGTACAAAGAAAACTTATTTCCAGAAAAGAAAGATTTTTTTGTGGCGAAACATGACATTCAAAATATGCATTAGTTGCTTGAATATAATTCTTCAAAAAAATAATTTACCATGTATATGAAGACGTTCTCAAACTGTTAAAAAACAAACTTATGCTCCACTTCTCATCATCAATTAGACATGGATCAATGTTATAGTATAAAGGAATGTATATGTCAGCGTCCAAACTGAGATTACGTCCAATCTCAGATTGGCCTAGGCGAATGTCGGATCCGAGATTGGACGCGTCCAATCTCGGATTCACGCAATTCTGTTCATTAAAATATCAATTACCCTTTAGACAGACCTTGGATTCAAACTTTTTTTTGAAATTATGTTCACACAATGCCGTTTTAAGTATTACAAGCATTTAGGAAGAAGCTAAATTTAGACTCAAAAATGTAATAAAAGTTTTTCACAAAAGTTGTTGTTCTCTAGAAATTTATTCATAACTCCTAAAATTTTATTCAAATCTGCCAAATGACAATTGTGCCAAACAAACTGGCATTGTGTGAACATAATTTCAAAAAAAAAGTTCGAATCCAAGGTCTGTCTAAAGGGTAATTGATATTTTAATGAACTGAATTGCGTGAATCCGAGATTGGACGCGTCCAATCTCGGATCCGACATTCGCCTAGGCCCATCTGAGATTGGACGTAATCTCAGTTTGGACGCTGACATATACTCTCGTCGTGATGGAAATTAGTTGAGATATATTTTTTTTACGCTGAAAAAATATTAGACTCCATTATAGGATTTTTATTCTACCAAAGAGAAATAAAAAAATGAATTTTGTTTATCTAAAACGAATAACACAATGAAAGACTAGTGTGTTATTTTTCTTCATCAATGTACCAACAATGAATAGTACATCAAGCAATGTTAGTGGTGCTCTTTTAGCTGCACCGTATCAGTTGAACAAATGGTTTGGTTTATTTATCTGGATGATCGGTAATCTTGGTTGTATTGGAAATATGATTGTATTTAGTTCTCGAGCATTTCGCAACCGAGCTTATGCAGTTTACCTATCATCGGAAGCAGCATTTAATATTATTTACTTTGATTTTCTATTGCTTACACGAATACTTCAACGAGGATTTCAAATTTCAATAACTACACGTTATGATATTATATGCAAACTTCGACAATTTGATTCCGTCTGGAATCATGACGTTTCGCTTAGTTTGTTTTCATTTGCAACAATTGATCGAATTTTATCTCTACAACGTTTGAATAGTAAGTTAAGAAAATAAACATACACTCCCAGTCGAGCAAAGGGCAAGTAAAATGACTAGTCGTTTTTCCAAGCGTAACGCCCATTCAGAAGCGATTTTTTAAATGATAAAAAAGCAAAGGAAGAGCATTCACGACGTTGCATACAACAGATTGTAGTCTTATGTTTTAGTAATATCCTAAGATGCTATTGAATATCATTCTACTCGAAGTTTTTTCAAATTTCACCATGAATAAAAAACTGTATCATGTACTACAAAATTACTTACATAAAATAGAACAGGACTTGTTTATAGTTGTTTTCTTTTTAAACTAAAATAAAATTATTGTATGAAGATATTATAAATTTTCGTATTAACTCACTTCTAATTTACTTTACAGTTTGATAAATTTTAAAGAATAATAATAGGCAATTTCCGTTGAGAAGTAATTAGAATACTAGCTATTTTCAATTAAGTCCTTGTGCTTTCAGTATAAAAAAGTGCAAATCTTCACTCTCCCGAGAGGTGCTCGATAAACTCTTTGAATATACAGTTTGCAGGATAGTAATAGAAATAAGATTTAATTTCAATGTTTTTCCGCCTTCGCAAGCATTAAAAGAACCCGCAGAGTGATTCGAATAGAAAAAATGGTTGTCAACAAGATAATAAGAAAATGAAAATTATAATCGTAGTCGCAAATAGAGATAGTCCAGGAAATCGAAACCCTAGGTTTTTTGAACAGTTGTAGTCAAAATCAACACAGTCTTCTTTAGACTATACAGAACAATAGAGTAAATCATCTTTTACAAAATGTGACGCCACCAAGTTCTCTGCAATGTTTTTTACTTAAGATATAGGAATTTCAAAGAATCTTCAAACATGGTTTTTGTAAAAGCAATTAGACAACAATGACTTAAGGAGTTTCCATCAGATTGATGAATCTCAGCTGAAAGCCGTCCTAGAGAACTTGAAAACTCATTTGTTAATGTATTCTATATAATTTAATTTGAAATCATTGAGAGCTTTGTACCTCTTGTAGTGACGAATTTATAAAGATTTCCACAAACAGCATTAGGAAAGTACAAATAAACCGAAAGTTTGACGTAGTAGATTGAACTTCTTGTCAAAATTATTCATCACCAAGGCTACACATTTCTGAAAATTTCAGTTCAAATGAACCTTTTTAAGTTTAAGATCTCTCGTGAAAGAGAGACCTGGTCATGAAGACAAAGTAAATTATCATCACAACAAGTAAATATTTTCGAAGTCTTTTAAAAGTAAGAGAATTGGATCGTTCTCAATGGATGCTAATAACATTGATGCTTAAGAATTATTATTATTATTAAAATATATTCTGATGTTGTTTTCTTCGCGATTAATTTGAATTCTTTTTAGTAGTGGATCTGGACTTTTTATGATGAGATGCGATCTTGATCATAAAATTTGTTTTGCAGCTCTTTCGAGTTGATTTTGAGCCATTTTAAAGACTTTTCTGTTAGGAAAAACAGAAAAATTCTTTTTGGAATTGAGCAATCGTTCTTAGCACCCATCCTAAATTCTTCACTAATTCTTTCTAATAAATTGTTCGAATTTGGATAGAAAACACTTCTTTCTTACAGAAGAACAATCTTGATTCTTCAAGCTATAAATTTGTAGAGAGACTTGTAATCGAATCATTTCTTTTACTAATCAATAGAAATAACTATTTTCTTGTACATTTCATTACTTTGAATCTATTTTGAACATAGTAAATCTCTCTTGTTCTTCAGAAAATTTTAATTCCGATGGAAAGCTTCTATTGTGTAGAAGCAAGAAGATTTTATACTCTTTTCTTTTCATTTAAGAATATCGTCGATGGAGCAATCGTGTAGAACTAGCTTACAAAATGTGTATTACATGTGTACTCTTTTGGCTATTGTTTTTTGGTCATCGACTTATTTTATATCGTACTACTAGTGGAAGCTGTGCTCCTCTACCCGGATTTTATGCATATTTTGATAATTATGTTGAAGCGAGTGTTACAGCGATGGGTACACCATTGGTGATGATTGTACTTGCTGTTCTATTGTTGCGAAGTGTCCGAGGCATTACTCAAAGACGAATCGTTCCTAAGGATGGTGGACAACCAGCAGTAATTTTACAAGGATCAGATCTTCATCAGATCGATTCTCGACTTACATTGATGCTTTTTTTATAATTAGTCATTGCTATAACAACACGTGTACCATATGCAACTCAACTAGTCTATACAGGTATCACTCAAAGTTGGCCAAAGTCGGCTGTACAAATTGCTATAGAGAACGCGATGGTTGAATTCATTCATTTACTGTCGTACACATTTTTTGCTTCTAGTTTCTACGTATCGTTTATTACAAATAGTGGTTTTCGTTGCAAATTTAAAAATTTCTTGTGTAAATGAAAAAATATACATCGTGTAAAATAAATTGATCTTATCATATAAGACCAGTGAAATGTTGATTCGAAAAAATTCTGTATCCAAAAAAGGTGTGGGCGTTAGCTGAATTCTTTTGCACAGTCAAATTCATACTCTCAAGATATTGATCTCTCTGACAAATTTCGAACGAATTTCTAGCGACTCGCCATTTTCTAGAATATCGTATCAAAAAGTTCAGCTTTTGTTGCAGCAAAACACTCACAACGTATGAAGGCTGCATGCGGATATGACCGATCACATCGATACTTTGCTTTGCACTACTTCCACTAAGATAGTTCATTTTGTAGAGTGAGAAAATTTCAAAGTACCATCAAAATGTGAACAAAACACTAGTTTTCTTTCTATGATCTAGCCTAAAGAAAAATGAAAGTTTGTGATCTTTAACATTTTTCTCAATTTTGTATATTTCATCAAGCAAACATTTATTAAAAAAAAGAACATTTCACACACGCATATAGAGATATTATACAGATGAAAATATCTCGAAATTTATTCTTTTGATAATATTAATTGATTTAATGCATGTGCTTCAATAATTAATTCTGATGGTATATCATTAATCAATGTAACATCATCATTTTTTAAATATGTTCGAATTTTTTGTTTAATAGCTGCTTGTGCTATGATAAGTTCTCCGATTGTTTTCATTTCATGAATTTGTATTTTATTTTGCAATAAATATCTATTTTCTCTAATTAACATTGGATATTCACCATAACATCGTCGTTCAAGTTCTTGAAGAATAGCATTCTTTTGAACTTCAACGTTTCTTAGATCTGCATTTTTATACATTAATAAAAGATGTGAATTATCTAATGTAGATAAATCTTCATTATTTAAATTAATAATATTATCATTTCTAGCATAGTTTAATAAAACTTCTGATAAACCATAAAAATTAGTACTCATTGGTATAACATCAGGTACTGATGAACTTTCATTTGATGAAGTCTTATTTTGATTTTCTAAGGTATTTTTTAATGGTAACTGAATATTAGAATTATGAAGATTAATTAATCGTTGTTGATTATTTGTTTGCATTGGTATTGGCATGAAATCTTTACAATCGATTGATGATGTAATAATTTTTGCATCTGTTGAATCATATCGACGATCATCATGACGAGAAAATATTTGTGATTGAGATTTATTTTGTTGATTTAATGGAGAATAATGTTGATTTAATGGAGAATAATCAGATGGTAATGGTGGCATAAATGTTGGATCAATATTTGGTGGATATGGTGCAATATTCAAATGAGAAAATCCAATTAAATTTGAATTACTATTTAATGATTTTGTCGGTGATGGAATTAAGTCTATATTTGGATATGGAAGTGGATGTGATTTAATAGTTGAAATTTGTCCTGGAAATGAATCAATGATTGATTGAGACATATTTGATGGTATTGTTTGACACATTTTATCTTGATGATAATTATTTTCTTGTTTTTCTTTATCAACAAGTAATGTTTGTACAATAAAATTTTCAATTAAAAGTTCAGATTTTATCTTAGAAATATTTAAAATATCAGATTGAATAATATATTGAATTTGTTGTTGTAATTTATGATATGCATAACTTAATTCTAGAATATTTTTTTGATTATATTTTTCTAAATATTTATTTATTAATATGATTTCATTTGATGTTAATAATGGACCAGTAGATTTTCCTTGTGTACGTTGATGAAATTCATTTAAAATTGATTTCATAAGATCATGATCAATTGTATTATGATATAATTCAATTAAATCTGATATTGTTAAACGATTAACATCAGTTGTTGATTTTTTTTCTATGGATTCATCTTTATAAATTATTTGCATAGATGATCGTTTTAATCGATTATTTTCTTGTTTTTCTTCAATTAAATGAATAAATTTAATCAATTTTTTAATTAATTTATCAGCTTTTAATTTTGTTTCAGGATTTTTTAATAAATTTAATTCTGTTTTTAATAATTTTATTAAATCTTTAAATTCATTTGCTAAATTAAATGATGAACATACATCATTTAATTGTAAAGATTTATTTTTAATATCTTTCATTTTTTGTTCTAATGCTTGTTCAAGTAATTCTTTTGTTTCAGATATTGTAATCATTTTTTCTTGACATTTATTATGATCTTGATATATTTGATTATATTTTTCTTTTAAATCAATTAATATATCATGTAAAGTTTCACGACTTATTTGAATAGTTTTTTTAGCATAATAATGATTTATATATGAACAATGATTTCGACATTGTTGACATTTACCATTTTTCATAACTAAACATTGAGAGAATATTTGTGTATCGACAAGATTTGTTTCATTTAAACGACAATTATTATGACAAACTTGATTACAATTTGCACATAAAGTACTATGATGTAATGCATCGATTTGTTGAATTTTTTCGACAATTTGATGTCGTGTATGATCTTGATATGTCATTACATCTCGATTATTTTGTTGAAATTCAAGATCTAATTGAGTAATTGCATCTTGAATTTTTTGTATTTGAATCATTTCAAGACGTGCTTGATGAAGAATTAATTTAATTTCATTACGAATTTGTTTCATTTGTAAAAATGAATCAATAGATATTTGTTTAAATGAATCAATTGTTGTAAGTATTAATTTTATTTGATTCATTGAATGATCCCAATCATAATGAAGTTCATTACGAATTGATTTTGTCCATGTTTTTGGATCAGATACAAATGCACCATTTTGCATATAAAATGGATAAATTTTACCATGTAAATGTAATAATTTTAAATCAAATGGTGATTCATGTTTTTTAACATTAGTTAATATAACAATAACATTTTCTAAAATAATATCAGGTATATTGCTATTTAAACAATTCATAGCATAACGAAAATTCATTGTTAAACGACTTAATGAACCATTAATAACAAGTATAATTGAAGTTAGATTATCTAATTGTGTTATAGCATCAAGAATTTTATTCATATTCATTTGATTTTGTTCAATACTATGAGTATCAGAAAAACCAGGTGTATCCAAAAATAAATATTGTTTATTTGTTATTACATCAGTAAACATATATTGTGTACAATGATTTGTTTTTGATTGAGTATTATCATAAAGATTCAATTCATTATAAGTAAATTCTTCAGTAGGAATTGGATAATACTTACATGGTATAACTATTTTAGGATTATTAAAATCACCTTTATGAAAATAATTACATAAATAATTAATAAATGTTGATTTTCCAGCACCTGTTTCACTAATAAGAAGTATTTTTGCTACTTTTTCAAAATTTGAACGATATTCACTTGATGAAAATAATGGATTTACTGAACTGAGATCAGACATTTTTAAAGTTTATTATTCAGAAGTCTAAAATAAACGAATTTTAAATGAGAATTTAATGATTTTCGAAATTGATTGACGACTAAAAAAAAGTCAATTTTAAGACAGCAAGAATCTTTGAAGATGAAAATAATGGTTAGTTCTTCGAGAGATAGAATCTCTGAAAAAAACCAATTTTATTTAAATCATACGAAATGAAACGTCTTCAATTTTTCTACGATGTTTTTTGACCGAGATATATGAATTTTACAATAGAAGGTACAAAAGTTGTTTTTTCTATTGCGTAGTTCGTATGAAAAACATCATTTGTGCACCTTCCGTATGATTGATATGTCTGCCCCAAAAAAAAAAACGTCGTAGAAAGCTGAAAGACGTCTCATTATATAGAAAATGATATACTATGTCATTCTAAAAATTCTTGTTGAAAATAAAATTCTCTACAAAAATTACTATCTGGATTCTTATTAGCGTTTATGAAAGTAAGAACAAAAATGAAAATATAAAACTGGTTGAATAATTTTACAAACTACTATATATATATAAGTGAAACATTCCGCCTAACTTAACAGCATCGTTAATTATTAATTTTCATGCATAAAACAATTTAATCTTCAGTCGACCGATAAACATATGTCATACCTTTTCGATTTTGAATATTTTATGCCAAACTTAATAAATAATAGCGTAATATCATAATTACTTATATCTCAAAATTAGATTTTTTCTGAAGTTCGTACAATAATATCTGTTTTTTTTTGCTTGCTTTAAAATTAAGCATGCATCCTCTACAAGCATGGTTATGTATACATACTTTACTTCCCATAACACAATACGTAAAAAAACAAAAAAAAAAAGAGAAAACGCTTCATTGATTGCTACTGACTTGTTTTGCACTCATGTCAAAAAAAAAAGAACAAAATATTTTTTTTTTCGACATAAACATATTTTTTTACAAAAACTAATGATGATGACACATTTTCCAACTTGATTTACAACACGTGGTCTTATACATTGATCAAATAGACTTACAAGACATATTAAAACGTATATTTATTTTTGTTAAAATATTTGTTTTGTTTGAAGGAAGTATGATATACAGTAATTTGAATATTACATTGAAATAGTCGGATAATTTTTCGATAGATTGGCTTTTAATGACTAAATATAATGATTAGTATTTATTTGAGAAAATATTTAAGTCATCGTTATGAGAAGAAAAGAATACGTTTTTTTTCTTTCGTGTGTTCTCTACCATGTAGTTTATTTCAAGCTTCAAGAACAACAAACACATTTATGAGTATAATAAAACAAAACAACAAATCGAACTATTAAAATTCTTTTCAATGAAGAATTTTTTCTGTTGACATTCTTGTTGTTTTTAGATAATGAAATATTTACTGTTGCCATAT